TCTCAGGCTCTCGCTAACTGACTTGTTGATCGGAGATAGCAATTTGCGTCCACTCCTGGTACGCATACACTAAACCAACAAGGGTTACGAGCACCAATTATAGATAAAAGAAAATAAAATGGAAATAAAAGAAAATAATAAACTAACACCTAACAATTTAAAAAAAAAAAGAACACAAGAGAAACACGAAAAATAAATTGAATAAGCGCACAAAATACGTCCTAAACCTTCCCCGGCAACGGCGCCAATTTGTTGTAAATATTTTTACCGGAGCAGAATCGATAGATTCGACACTGGGTCGTGTCTCACGAGGAAGGTCAGCCGGAATATTAAGCACGTTTATTCAAACACAACTGAGAGAAATAAAAGAAATAAAAATCCTAAACATACTAAATCAAAGTTTGGTTGGCTTGTAAATTATCAATTACTGCAAGATTTAAATGGAACAATAAAGATAGCAAACAACGACGAACAAATAGAATTAGAGAAGCTAGGGAGTCCGGGATATCCGTTTCGGTTCGAAATGCGATTGTCAAGCAAGTGATTGTTCAGCTAAGTGATTTGAATAACCGACACGTTCAAGCATTCGTTCTCAATAACTCTTCGTAACAAGAGAACAAACTAGAACGGCAAATTATCGATTCATTTAGCTTCTAGGCAATACAGTTACGAACAAGCCTAGCCTATGCGAGCCTAAATCGAATGACTCCACCCCTTTCGGTTCTAAGAGTCGATTAACTTAGACTAGAAGGTAATTAATCAACTAGCCCGTTTAGAATTAACAACGCTAAGTATGAATTTATCAAACCCAATTGAAACAATCGCAAGTTGAAGTGTCACCCTTCAACAATTCTCAAAATCCAAGACAATGATTGAAAAACCCTAATTAAAGATCAACTCGCATAGGAACAACAATCACGAACATGATAATCGCAAAAGAAATCAAAACATCAATCCCCTATCCCTAGCATAAAGATTTAGCTACTCATAGTGCATTCAACATTAATATTCACACCAACCCAAGCCATAATCATCAAGGATAAACGAAAAGAAAAGCTTACGATTGATATAAATCTAATGTCGAAGACAAGGAAGAAAACCAAATCCACAAGTCGAATCTTGGAAGTTTTCACTTTCCAAGGTTGAATCTAAGCATAAACCAAGAGAAAATATGTTTTGTAGTGAAAAAGCTCGAAAAACAATGTCTGGAGAGCTCAGAAAATGCCCTAGGCTCGATCTAATAAGTCCCCCATTCAAAATGGCGAGAAAAACGCGTCAGTTGAAAAACAGGCCTTAGCGCCGCTAAGGGGTTAGCGGCGCTAAGCCTTCTTAGCTGGTTTCCTCTGTCCCGCTTAGCTGCCAAAACCCCGCTAACCACACAGGCCTTAGCGGCGCTAAGGCCTTAGCGGAGCTAAGGCCCCCGGCAGCTTTGCATAACTTCACGGTTTGGGCTCGTTCGGGCTCGTCTGGTATCAGAATTCAATTCCGCTTTTTCCTACGCGTCGCTAACGAGCTCCTCTATTCAATTATGCTCTTGAAACCAATTTTTAAGGAAGAGAAACTTTGCCCAAAGCTCCTGACCTACACACCAAAAACAAAGAAAAACCAGAAAAACACACGGAAAACACAAGAAAAACCGAAATAGATCAAATCTCGCAATAAACTACAAAAACGAATAATACCAACAAAAAGACTCAATATTGGGGAAAAAGAAAGACAAAAGGACAACAAAAAACACAACAAAAATGGGACAAACAAATCGCATTCTAAGTGAATC